TTGTGACACCTTATTCCCATAAAACGACGCTTGTCTTGCAGGTTTGGGACAATCTTTGTAATCAATCATAATTATATCAATCCTACAAAAATATCAATCAATATCAATCATGTTCAGGAGTTTCTGAAACCTTTCTTTCCTCCTTAACATACAGGCTCTTGGAAGCATTGATATTTTTTGAATCTCTTACATACGACGGAATTATGTCTCATATACAGTGAATATAATCAATTTGACGTGTGCACCAAGTGATTGAATTGCACATTTATATATGTCTCAACCTCAGACTTCCAGTACTTCTATGACTTTGTTAGGTGCTATCAAATATACATGTGCAATGTCCTAGTTCAATGACACGTCTTTTTTGGTAGAGATGTGCACTCTTTGTGGTTTTCTAATCTACTGAACTGATAACAGTATAATATGAAGTCAATACCTGCACATTCTTGTCTTTACTGTAAAATCTGAACATTTGTATAACATCATTTGGATATAAATATCGCATTGGGGTATTTGCGGAAACAATTGTCTTTCAATGTATTGAGTGGAGCGGTAATGTGATGTCAATGATACATTTGTATCTTAGAATAAACAGTCTTCATGAGATCAATGATGTCATAAATAATTGCATAAAGCTCGACATGTTGAATGCTAGAAATAGATACATTCATCAAAAATAATTTCAAATAAACGTACTCAGATTACTCAATAATGTGATTCTTTCAAAGCATCTTTTTTTCTCATGTTACTTGATCTGGAAGTATTCGCGGACTTAGTCAAATATCAAATATATAATATTCAATTTAACAGGCACATCGAGCACAAACGTAAATACTGCTATCATGGTAGTATTCAACTACGCTATGGAATCCGGATAGGGCCAAGTAGTTCACTATCGCACCATCGAGCATCGACTAAAGGGCCGATGGCGCAATAGTGCGATGACGATGGTGCAATGACGATGATGGCATGGCGCGACAATGCGATGGCGATGGAGCGATACTGAACATCGCTTCATCGTCATTGTACTATCGCGCCATCGTCATCGCACCATCGTGTCATCACTATCGCTTCATCGTACCATTGCATCATCGTCATCGCATTGTCGCACCATCGCTTCATCATCGCACCATCGTTTCATCATCATCGCATTATCAACCTAAACCTCTATGGTACGATGATGCGATGGTGATCTACATGGCCCTATCCAATTCCATACTATCCGGATTCCATAGATATTTGTTTATTCAATTTTTAAAATTGATGAATCATTATTTGTCAGTAAAATAAAATTACAGAACAGAGGAAAGATTACTCTAAATGCTAACAAATTATCCAAAAAATAGCACATCGAGTTATCTTTCTTTCGTCGTCTGAACTCCGCCTGCATTAAGAAGAGTATTTGAATTAAAGGGTGATACGATGCCCATCGTATAATTTTGTCACGGCACGGTTATTTTCTATAGGATACATTTTGATAGAAAGAGACAAATTCAAAGTTGTTTTATGTTTGTTTCACTAAAATTAGTAACTGAATCTTTTAATTTTCACATGGAGGCCAATTCGGGTCAGAAAAACAAAACTGTCCACTTGATTGTTTGCTTTTTATTTATTTCTTATTTACTTATCCATTCATTCATTCATTCATTTATTTATCTTACAAAAACCATTTTCCAGAACTCCTCTTACATTTTACACAGTGGCCAAATCATCTTTTAGAATATGGCTGATTGTCCTGTGTGTGTGTAAAAGGTAACAGAATTGACATTATCATCCTCGGACCAAATTGAGGGCCGAAAATATCAATCCAAAAACACTAGCGTACTTGGTAGTAATGCCATATATGTACATGTAGATGAGGTACATGTAGGTATAATTTTAATGCTAGCATAGCTATGAAATATTGCTTGCTGCTAATACTGAATGCTTGCTAACAATTCTCTCTTCCTAATCGAGTTGGTCCTTGTTTTTTATCAAAGAATTGGAAGGCTTCTTGTCAGTACAATGCAAGATAAAGGAAACACATGAACTATATATATTCAATTATTTTCAATGTCTTCGGTTTTTATAATCCAGGTGCCTTCAATTGGTAAATAAATGCAGAGTTAATATACATGTATGTAGGAATACATCTTTATAATAACTGTCCCGCTGATGGCGTAATTCATTTTATTGATATCTTTCCCCAAAATACGAACTATCAACTTTTAATTCTTCACGGAAATGTGCTGTCAGTTTGTACAATATCATGAAATAATTATATCGAGTTCTTTTTTTTTTTTTTTTTTTTTTTTTTTTTTTTTACAATTTATCTTGACATCTTCTCCTCTAGTTTTGTCCTCCTCGGTTTGTTAATTTGCTTTGTCAGTGGAACCATTTGTGATGTGTCCAATTTTGCAGGATCCTGTATGATATTATAACATGATATTGTACGAACATCATCTCGTATGAAATTTAAGTCAACCACAACAACTCTAAAACAGATACATTAAGTGAAAAATAATTATAGTAATTTTTTATCAGTAGTTTTAATTGAAGCGGGTACAGTGGCAGTCTTGTTAGAGGAAATCCCTTGATTGCCCAGCAAGGTTTTAGGGCTTTTGATCAATGTGCTCTCATCAGGTTCGTTTTTTATCAAGACCTTAATTGTGGGGTCTAATATGCTGAAATAATTGATTTTGCCAGAGCGAGTTCGTCTCTAAATCGTCATCAATTTGCCAATTTGGTGAAGGGGAGAAGTAATTCTGTAAGCTTTTCATTATTTTACACTTTTCTAATGAAGAAATAGAAGAAAGTAGTCAAGGCTGAAATTAACGGGATTGTGGTAGAGAGACAGAGAGCGGGGTATAGAACAAATCTTAATGGACAAAAAGAAATTCTAGTGTGGAAAAAATAAATTACGAAATTAAATTGCATATATATATATATATATATATATATATATATATATATATATATATATATATATATATATATATATATATATATATATATATGATATCTCTCACTGTTCTTCCTAAAAATAAGCAGCTCACCGCAGCTTGGTTTTTGCTCTGAATTTAAAATACAACAGGACAGATCTATATGAAATTCCAGAAAATATGATTTACCTAAATGATCAATCGTTTAGGTAAACCACAATTCGCCACAGGAGACCAGACTGACCGGATCTGCCTCGCGGTGGTCTAGATTCATTTCAAATCAATTAGATATTAACATTAAAATTTAAATCTGTGATTAAATAGAGTTTAGTAGCTAGGTTGTAGTGCTAGATGTTTTTCATCTGTTTTTAATGACTTTTTAACCCCTTCTTTGTCCTGAGGAAGGGACAGGACAGAGTCCCGAAAATTTGACAATTATAATTGTTCGTGTCGTTGGTCACTTTTAGTGCTTTCTCTCTCTCTCTCTCTCTCTCTCTCTCTCTCTCTCTCTCTCTCTCTCTCTCTCTCTATGTACGTTTGATTCTTTGATGTTAACGTCCCGTCAACCCTTTGGAAAAGGGGCTCTCTTCAGGTATAAAATATTATACGCTGCATTGATTACATTTATAGGTTGTCATCGAAATAGATACGGTTATAAATAAGATCAAGGTTTTTATTCATTCTGAAGCAGGTCTTCCTCTCATTTATCACGCTTTAACAAGGAGTTTTTATTATGGCCATATTTCATATCAAATCGCTTCAACGAGGTTTATGAAGCTTCGACTACCCTCGTAAATATCCAGTCCGTGTATTAGATCCCGGCACGTGGAAGTCATCCCAACTTAATGGGCCCAGTTTTTTTATCATGAGCTGATTTGTGGCCTATGTCTTGTTATTCCATATCAATCCCTGGATTTCTCTATTGGCTGTTGGACATTTTTCCTAACGTCGTGGTCTATTATATTGGATTTTATATTAGCGGTAGTGGTAGTATTAAGGAAACGTCTAGATCAGGATTTTGACATCTCAACACGCTGTACTACCACATCAATCAGTGATTCAGGTTTTTACGGATTTTCTGCTTTAATTGTGACTTTGTATCGATGTATATGGTCGGTTGTTGATACATTGCATCAAGAGAAATTCAATCTAAATCACATAATGGCCCCTGGAATTTGAATACCGTTCAGAAAGTCTAGATCACACAACCGAGATAGAAATGAATTAGATGACAACATGTTCGTGGAAAATAACAGCAATATTTTGAGAGCTTTGCCATGTAACATTAATTCAGTTTTAAAGAGACGGAAAAAACACAGTATGCCAAGTTAACTTGATGTAAATTTGAAAAATACTGAACCAAACAGTAGTAGAATATCCAACCATTCCAATTTGAAAAGCCTAGAAGTTAAACACATAAAGTTAACGAGCAGGTTAATTTCCAAAAGAACTGGTTTCGTGAAAATGAATATCATCATTAATTTAAACACCTTTCATACATTTATCTTTTCTAAGTACTTAATTTTTCAATGAAGGTATTGGTCAGATATACCTGTTAATTAATTCATTAACTTAATATATTCAGCGTTTGTACCATTAACTCTTTAGAGTTTTGACAGTCTATAAGAATACCAACATTGTATATACAATTTTTATATTAAAATTCGTGTTACTTTCAGTTTACTTAAATTACAGCTTATGTAAGGAAGTGGTTAGTGAACTGACAAATTTAACGCAATTTAATATACGTGCATTTCTGTCCTTCATTGCTGTTAACATACAATAATGTTCACAATTTTATAAAAGTCGATATAGAACTTAATATTTTGTATCAATGAAGGGAGATAATGGAATACAATATTCTTGTTATTAATTAAGCCGACCTGAATACAATTAATGTATATTTAATGAACGTATGCGACACTAAGCATGTCGCCATATGTGACCCAGAGAAGTTTTGTCGTGCGTCAAACAACAAGCTATAGATGTTAGTAAACAAGAAGTACCTCATTAACCGGGACTTCTTATCAAACAAATGAACAAAGCAATAGATACGAGAATCTTTGTTGTGTAATCTTTCCTGGAAATGGGTGCTTGCTACACACGTTGGTTGTAATCTCTGTGATGCAGAGCTCCGTGGTGGTAATTATTGTCAATTAAACTCCATCGAAGCGCTTTCTTCTGTATTTTATTCCTGTATTTCCCTGTGGTTTACAGATTAAGAGGTGATAAAAACAAACAATCTGTCAATATTCAATTTAGTTAAAAACCAGTCACACGACAAGTGGTTTATTTAAGGAACAAGGTGTATTTAAATGGTTGGTCGTGTAATATCACAGTTCTGTGTTAAACCATTTAGGATGGAAGACGGACCTGTATTCTAAGTCTGGCAGCAATATGCAGCGGTCAGAATTCCTGGTGGACCAATCTGTTATTTACAACTATTGATTGATCACCTGCAAGTCAACGGGATAACACCACTTACTGTCCCCTCCAACCGTCAGAATACGGAATACACCGCAAATATTGGTTCTACGTGCATCACCATCTGATTCCTATTGATAAGGTATTATTTTCTTGGAGACTCCATATCAACTTAGGTTCTTAATTAACAGGATGACATTTACGTGCATAATCATATGCAATAATATCTTATTACCTGGTTCTATTAAGAAGATTTCCCTTACCTGTAAGCATAGATGATGTTAACCAGCTCAAACTGAGGTATGACTTGTAATTCTACAATGGACTCTGTACATGATTATCAGCTTCAACAAAACATACTGATCACAGTGTTGTTTCTGGCATTGTTCACGGGATGGAGGGCTTTCTATGAAAGGATCAAACGCACCCTATGTCAGGTGACGGTTGTCGTTATAGGTGGTGGCCCAGTGGGATTGTTATCTGCTTTTCTGGCATTAAAATCCAACCGTGCTTCAAAAATTGTCATCTTCGAAGAAAAAGACAGAAAAACATTATTGAATGGCCCATATCAATTGACATTTGATATCCAAAGTGTAGATTATCTGAAAAGGTGTGGAATTGATTTTGATAACATTGAAGGTTGTTGCCATGATAACTGTTTCACAACAAAAGTTGGTGTTTTTCTGGAGTACATACTTGACCACCTTTCATCTCCAAGGGTCAGTGTGCGCTTTTCTTGTAAGGTAACAACAATTTTCTTTTCTTTCGAACAGGTTCTTGTAAAGCTACACTCTACCTAATTTGGACAACTTTAAAAATAAGAAATATATTGTCTCTTTCTGTTTAGATTGAACTTTTTCTGGTCATGTTTATTAACCTGACTGTTTCCAAGAACTCTTGTCTTCTTGTACCTTGTCATGTACTTGTAATACGATAAACCTTAAATTATAAAGGTATATCTACTAGTACATCTGCATGTATATATTTAAATCTTTAACCTATTACCTTTTCTTAGTAACTTCATAAGACAGTAATTCGACACAAGAAGTTTTAAAGAAGATAGCTACGAAAGTCCTTACATCATTTATCATGAGATAATATTTAAATAAGATGTAATATCTCTTCGAGATTCCTTTGAAGAAACTCTAATCTCACATCTTCCTGAACTATACAGTCGATGAGGAGCGATATAATTGCAGTCAGACTGCTTATACGTGCTTTATGAAATATGCCTTGATGCAAAGTATCAGGTCGTACCAAAATTGAAATGCATTTCTTACTTGTTCTGTACCAGTCTTGTATTAGAAAATGTTCTACTTTCATAAGACTTTAAAATAACTGCTAGACAGAAATGTTACACTACCATTCACGTCTCTTTGGGGAGAAAATCGTACAGACATAACGTCTAAGTATGCATTGTACGACTAATTCTTTATTGTACAATAATGGCTGTTAACCTGACATGGAAAATTAAATACCGAGACTGACCTTCACAAACTTCCAATATCGTTACCGCTTTAATTAAAGGCTGAACTTTTTTGGAGGTGTATATAATCAGCTCATAACCTGATAAACTGTACCTCAGAGGTTATGATTTCATCGCTAACAATTTAATGATTTTATCAATTTACACCCTTGCCCCCGTACATGTATAGTTCACGAGTAAACATTTTCTCATTTGCTTTGAACATATTTTTGGTTTAGATTAAGGGAACAAGTGATCACCTTCTGTTATACTGAATTTCCTTCGAACAAAATGTTTTGGCGTCTTAAGAATTGACCAGAATAGGACTATTTTGTGTGTCTGTAGACAAATAGACATAAATTCAAAAGAAATGAGATGTAGAATTAAACTGTAGGACACATCAGAAAAAAACAACTGAACTACATCATGTACATTATATAAGAAACTTTTAAATAAATTCAAAATAGATATGAAGATACAATTCACTTCGAATTTTTGAGTGCATTAGTTGTTTACACAATGGTTGTTTGTGCACTATTATTTACGAAGTGTGAATTGGACAAGATCTAACATACGTAGGCTTGTATAAAACATGACATGGGATTTTATTTTTACTTATACCAGCCACCAGTTTACTAGTGATGAAATTTTATTTAAGTTAAAAGCCAGACATACCTACAATATTTCAGTGGCATCTCTCATTTTTGTTTAAATTGTGATTACGGCAGACATACGTCTTTAATTCAGTGTCCGATACACATAATTACAAGAAGATTAATTTTGATTTGTTCTAAGCAAAAAAAAAAATATCACTTAAAGAATTATGTAAATACATTAATGTGTTGGTAGATGTAAATGCAGGTACCACATTGTACTTGTTATCAGGATTCAGGGCGTTGTAAATTTTTGTATAGGGACTCTTACTATTTATGAACCAATTACACCCCGTGTTTCTGGTTCCAGATACTTGTAAGAGATTGGACTACAATTAGCCCACAGTCGATCTGAAAAGAATACAGTAAAATTATGTGTTGAAATATATTGCTGATGCCCGTCATATTCAGTGGGCACAAATAGGATCTTACAATGACTCTACACCTGAGACACATATATATGTTTCAGCTTTTAAATATATTATGACAGTTTTTATGTTTCAAACGACTTTTAAATTACCAGATAAAAAAAGGAACCTGACTAAATTGAGTTTGACTTTTACATTAATGGTTGAGTGCCCATAGCAAAATGTTTACGTAATTCGCGATTCCATCATCATTCATTTTTCACTTTTTAAACAAAAGCAAGTACGTATCAAAGCAATTGGGCTATGCATTTATTTTCTTTTTATAATATGTTTTTTTTTTTAAATATACTGTATATGATAAGTTAGTGTTTTAGACTTAAAAAAAAAAGTCTGCAGAGGTTTTATTGAATGAGGGGATCAATCCACGTCACACGATGTTTCTGACACCATGCAATGATTTATAAAATTCATTTTACTTCAGACATGTTCTTTTTTTTTTCAGGAATATTAACTTTCGAAGATTTATATATTTATGTGTATTCAATATAATAGTTCATATGCGTACTTGAAACACAGTGATAATCTTTCCTGTAGCTATAAGTGTCAAAAACATATATTTGATCATAAATCATATGCTGTAACCATTAAACATGCCGAGATTTTGGTGTCGAATCAATTTCATTAATCACCTAAAATATTCAATGTTACATAACCCACTTCAGAAAAACAGTTTTTATTGAATTTATTTTTTCTCGATGTGATCATGCATAACTAGAATTTCGAGACAAATGAAAGATAAAGTCTGCACTGAAAGAAGTTATTTACAAAACAACAACAAAAAGAGGAAAAACTGTGAAATCTGTTTATCATCATATGTGTTACATGTAGTGTCTGAAATGTTTTCATTGTCAAAACAAATGGGATTGAACACGTACATTTATTGTTTGTACATTAAAAAGGAATGGTTTGTTTTCGCTTAATTAAAGAAGATTAATATGTTACTTCGATTAATATTGGTGTTGTATTAGATTTAATTTTAAAGTAATACGGACTATCAATTTCATTCACAAGTATTCTAAGCACACGCAGAAATTTTAATCTTCTTAGCCCTAAACTTTGGGCACTCGATTAATGAAGGATTTTCAAATATATTCCATACTCGCTGCTCTCACAATGAAGCAGTAAGCTTGATAAAATGATTAACAAGGCATTGCTATGTTATTTTATTATATTTTTATTTGACAAAATCAAACCAGGTTTTATTTGAAACAGTGGTGCGTTCTCTTGCCGCTGTTAACAGCTTGCCTATTCCGTACTCCTTCCGGTTACTGAATTCTGACAAGCACAAATTAAACAAGAAGACGTCATATATAGGTTTTATGTCTGCTACATTTATCTCGAGTTCTTTAAGATTTTTCTAGTTGAGAGATTCTTATCTTCTTAGCATTTTAAAATGTGTATGCAATGAAAATACATTTTAATTTTATCGTGGAATGCTTGGATTTTGGTATTCATTTATATAATTGCTTCACAGTTCAGTTTTCCCGATTAAGTTGTAAAACGCATTTATAGTTAAAGTTTGAAATTGGCATTTTCACAAAACTATATTTTCTGAAGATTGAGTTGATTTCAACTTACAAAATTTTGACACATTTTAAAAGGTCAATTCATCGCTTTATTGTTAACGAAGACGGACCAATAATTCATTTCTGCAATAGATTTTTTATTCAAATTTTAATATGAGGTAATGTGGCTTTTGGTGAGTTAAAATCAATAAAAAAAAAACATATGGTCATCGATGTAGATTTTTAATGGGGAGCGGTTTCAAAAGTTGGCAATGAAAATCGATAATTACTATAGGAAGTAATGGGAAATTGGCAGTGTAGGGTATAAGAGTGATCATGAAAAAAATTCTGCAATAGAATTTTTATTCATATTAAAAGACAATATTAACAAGACAATTTACCAGCAAATTATGCCAAAAAATAAATGGATCATCGGCTTAGATTTTTCAGGGGGGGGGGGGGCATGTCAAACTCAGGTGTAGGGCACATTTTGGGGGAAATTTTCAATGAAAATACCTTGGCCAAATAAATCATTTATTTATGAATATAAATCGAAATATTTACAACATTTTTGAATTGAGAGGAAACGTTTGAATCTTTAAAAGAATTTAAAATGTATATTTTTTTTATCTTTTGCAATACATAATAAAGTCAATTTGATTCAAGGCATATGCGCGGTTTTCTGCGCAGTGGCGTGAAATTTAGAATTAGGTCCGTCGTCCTTAAGGAAAATATGTTTCATGTTTAAGATTCTTCTTTTAATAAGATATTATTACAAATTTTTGGAAATACTTGAAGCCAAAAAGCACATTATTAAAGCAAAAGTTAGATTAACTAGGGCACCGCAAAGCAGAGCAGCAATTCGCAAAAGAGGACTTCGATCCCGATATGAATTTTTACTTGCCTCACTTCCGTTATGCACTCGCTCACTCACCCACCCACACACAAGCACATTACCATATCTTCTCCAACTTCGTTGCGACGGGATAATTAAGTGACAAGATTAAGGATCGAGAAGGTTGATGGTTTTGTGGTGGTTTGAAATATCGGGAATAATTACGATTAATGTGGTTATACTCTGACCGCATGGAGGAAAAAACCTCTTTATTATAGATGGTCAATTTTATTGTTACATGTTGGTAATTAAATGAATGCTAAATAATTCATCACAATATATGGTTTTGATGGAGGGTAAATAAACAATTGTCAAGAGATTGTGTTCTGCCTAGAGGGTGGTCCGAAGTATCTGACGTTTCAAAGGCTTTTTTCACGATTTTGATATTTTACGTGCCAGGAAAACATGGCACGTAAAATATCAAAATCGTAAAAAAAAAAAAAAAAAACCCTGGAAAACGTCAGATACTTTGGACTACCTAGAGGGGAACTGTATCTTATTAGAATGTAATCAAGAAGTTGGATTTTAAAAAAAATTGCAATTTATTACACGCACAAATCTATTTATTTTACCATGTACATGTACAAAATTTATATAACTTTTTCATAAAACACGGATAAAGGAATTCATAAAGGTATACTGACTTTCATTTACTTTTATTTTGTAGTTTGACAAAGAAACGTGTAAGGAGTTGGATGAAATACAAGGACGACTACTTGTGATAGCATGTGATGGCAGAAACGGTCAAGCATCCAGACTGCTTGGACTGGATGAATTTTCAGAACAACATTCCTGTAACGCCTACGGTGCAATCGCAGCCATAGAACGCACAGAGGCGAGGGATGTTCCCACTCCAGAAAAAAGAGTTCATAATTTAACATTTGATTTATCAGCTTATGGCGCATATCATTCCGAAAATGATAATTCCCCCGGATTTAGTCTCAAAGTGTTCGGCAACAGCAAACATCGATATATATCACTAGCCATCTCCAAATGTGAATCACCAGTAGTTAAAGCCCTCAGAACGATTCTCGATAGATCGGTAAGTATCGATCTATTTTGATTCTAAGGCTCACTTGATAGAGCCTATAACTGATGAGTATATTCCGATTCTCAAACATAGGTAAGGACAAGTATTTGCCTGAGGAAGTGTTGAGCAGGAGAAAAAATATAGCTCAGCAGGTATACTATAGATAGCATCGATCCATCAGTATACTTATGACCATTAGCGATAATGCTACACGTACGCCCTATAAAATAAAACTGGCAAGCAGTCGGCTTTTAATTTTGAAATATTATTTCCTATAAAGCAAGTGATTTTTTTTTTTTTTTTTTTTTTTTTTTTTTTTTTTTTTAAATCGCCACACTGGTGGTGTACTAATTTGATAGAAGTATCGATGTAACTTCTAGTATATTGAATGATTGAAAGAAGTATGTCTTTTTTTATCTGTCTTCTTATAACATTATGATGAAGAATATCACTTACCCAATAGTATACCAGGCACGTAGCATCGTTTTTGAAAAGGGGGGATAATTTCCAACTTACACAAATATGACTAGCAAAAAAGAAAGAAATTGTCCAAATTTAAAATTATGGGGGGATTAAGGGTTTGATGGGTTCCAACTTTTCACATATTTTTTTTAAAAAATATTTTTTGAATACATTTATGCATGGGGGATTTGACTTTACTACAAAAAAGGGGGCAACCGGCCTTTCAATGAAAATTTGATACATTAACAGTAATTAAAACATGTTTTGAAAAAAAAGTGCCAGACCCCCTGATACTCTACGTGTCTGTATACCAGAGAATAAAAAAATGCCATCTCTCAAAAATGGTAATTTGATAAGTAACCTAATTATAATAAATAGGAAATATTATGAATAGCTCATACATGTAGTTAATGACAAAGTTATTACCTGTGCAAAATATATTACTGTAGGACAGTGGAGGTGTAGATGTACTGAGAGTGAAGGACATACACTGTATATCATATACTGTAAAGAGTGAAATTTTTGTCCCTGTTTATTTTCGGCCCTTTCGCCCTACTCTTCGTTGGGTGAATTTAAAACAGAACCAATTCAAAGAACACGGTATAATTTCTTTAACAGAATTGTGACTGGGCGAATTTAAAAGGGGCCAAAATTGTTTGCAAGTGTAAAATCTCGAAAATAACACGGGGCGAAAATAACCCTGTATACAGTATTACATATCATTAAGTGGTCTTTCCATTAACGTCATCAGTTCAACTTTCAACATTAGGGAGTCCTACTCCCAAGTAAAAACATTTACCATGAAAATGGTCTAACTGTCGACTTAATTCTCAGATATGAAAATTAGTACATAACATTTGCTATTTATTTTCAAAATGAAAAAAAAAAAAAAACAGAACAGAACAAAACAGAGAAGTCCCCGAGCATAGTCAGTTGTAATTTGGGTCTAATGTACCTACACCAAACTAATACTGATATATTAACAGGACTGCTAACTCTTGCGGGGAACATTCAGAACATTGCAATTTTGAAAAAAAAATCCTAAAGAACTCAAACTTTATATTTTAAAAAATGCAGATAATCTGTGACCATCATATAATCTTGACTTACATGTAGGTTCCCGATACATCCTCCCGAATTAATCAGTCTTTATTTGAAAAATGATCCTTTATCTGCAAAATATATTTGCAAAATTAAAGACCAAACATAAATATTACACATTCCATTGATCTTGTCTAATGTTTTTGGGTGTTAAATTGCACTTTATCACATGATCTTAAGCAGTTCTTATGTCAAATGTAAGCTTCGATTCAAGAGAAAGACCAGTTTTACACATTCAATTCCTGGTGTGCGACATTGTTTAAATGACCTTGGCTTCGAGTAATCATATACCCTTAAAAACTATACTTTTATGCAAAGTACTAAAATATTATGAGCTATTATTTCTCCATTATAACACAATAAAGCAGTCATAAATCCTATGCTTCCAAATACCGTGGTATTTAAAGTCATTACACACCCCATGATCATTAGCTTACTTTGTGATATAGACCTGAAGCTTCATATCCATATGAACTTGATTTGCGGTTTCAGGACAAAGCATTGGCTATTCTGGTGCCAAGAACGAGCTTATTATGCTTCTCTGTCACAAAGACATAGATTACGACACGAATTTAACACTTCCAGTTCCTGTGACATTGATCTGTGTACAAGACAACTTAAAGGGATTTCTGGGACTCTTGTCATAAGCTGCCATCTGACAAAGTAAAAAGTTTCTTAAGTCTTAAATTATCAGCAGGGATCTATGTTGCAGATATAGCATGACAGAGACAGATCATGACACCCACCTCATCCATCCAAAAACCACCAACCCCGATCTTCTATCTCGGAGGTATGATAAACTGTTTCCATGTACATTTCAAAAAAGCTGACTGAAAAGTGAAAAACATGAGTCGAACTTGAACCAAGAATTCTTTTTGAAACTGAGGCGAGAGAACTTGTATGTTTATACATACGAGTACGGTAACAAAGAATGGAGTGCACTGTTCTTTGGTCGGTCTCGTCGTCTACTTATAGTACATGTGTATATGCCTTGCTTTAGGCTTTTGAAATACATTTATGTACATATGTAGTTATTTTCCTAATTTCAAAGTTTCATAATTGTTTATCAAGACTGAACAAGTGGTGAATGGTGTTTTCTGGATCCTCGATCTTTTTAATTGATATCATTCTGTTGTCTTTTTATATATCATATACATGTAAATCGTAATTCATGGTGGTCAGGCCCGTAGAACGCGGGGGGGGGGGGGGGGCACATTTCTCTGAGTGTAGTATTTTGCTATAGTAAATTTTCCTTTAGTTGCTGGTTGCCCCTCCCCCTCCACTTTTTGATGTTGTAAGATGGCAAATTGGCAAATTCAAGGATTCGGACATTAAATTAGCTTTTTTAAAAATTTATTTTGTGGATTCGGACATTACCAAAAGGGTGATGAAATGATGAATTTCTGGCCGATTTTTGTTATATGCAAATAGTTTTTTTTTTCCTTTGATCTTACAACGACATGTCTCCTGTTTAGGTGGCATATTTCGGTGGCTCCGAGATCTTGTTAAGACCCTTCTGACGCGTGTATCGACGTGTTTCTCGCTGTTTGCGTCAGATGAATCGCAGTATCCCCTATCAACAGATGGTAAGGCATTGGTATCAAGTATCTCATGTCGCCATTGCCAATGCAAGTGAACCCTTCTTCGGTATCACGGAGTGGATTTTTATCTTAAAATTGTGTTGGCGGAAAATGGTGATTTTTGATAATGCTTTGATCGGGATTCACGATATGTCTGTAAAGTAAAACAGCAACTTGTGAAATACGTGTACACGCATCATCTTTGTCTTGTAGTCTGAACGGGTAAAGAACCCTACATGTATTAACACAACAGAAAAATGTTTTGGGATATAGAGATAATAATAATAATATTACTTGAAGGTGAAAATATTGCGTTGATCTATTTAATTTTCAACACAGGGTACTTGCCATTCTCCCCAGAAAAAAAAAATTTCAAAGACAAAGTATTGATGAACGGGTTATCACTGTCGCTTTCTTGTATGTGAAAACACATGTTAAAATAGTATGCACTTTATCTTGGCTTCATTTAATGTTAAGAATATTTTAATTAATTGTAATTAACTGTGTATTGCGCCGTAGATTTCAGTTCATTCAATTTTAAATCAATGGGTAACTTACTCTAATTTCGGGTAAATTACTCATTAACTTCATATATGTGTTATGAAATTAGAACTCTTCAGTGTGCAGCTACAGATATTCCTTAAATCTAGCTCTGATTTTGTATTAATGTTATAAATCATGTTCGCCCAATGGCAACAAATTTCAATAATGATGAATAAATGATATAATCATAAGTTTTTTTTGTATAATACAGATAAAGCTTTATATTTTTATTACAGATGATGCGTAACATTTTCCTGAAATGCTTCAACCTGTATAAGATGGGATACGAGCAGTCACTAAGTGAATCCTACGCCCTGAACCATATGAAGTTTAGCCCCCGCCTTTTTGAGATAAAACTTTCCCAGAGATGCGAAACAGTGGCCTACTTCCACGACTGTGATACATTTGTACTAGCGGAGGGAGAGGCGGCCTTATCATTTAATTTTCATACAGGTAAGTATTTATTACAGGTTTTGAAAGAATTAAAACTTTTTATCAAGACAGATGCAAAAATGTTGCAGCAAACATTTATTTGTTTTCATGAGTGACTTTTACTAGATGTTTGAACGATCAGTCCATTATAAGTTTATCTTATTTCAGGACTTGACATAAACCCAGCTATACGAGGTTTGATGTCCCTCTCGAAGTTCATAGAAATGATCTCATTGGCCGAAACAGAACATTCCATATCGAACGCTCTCCTTTTCAAAATGAGGCATAATGAATTTGTCAGCAAGGATCTTATACGCAACGGATTGCGAGAATACATGTTCTCCTGATTGATTTTTAGCCTCAACGTACTCAACAATTTTCCCAAATATATTTTCGAAACTGCCAATTGACAGAGTTAGTGCCTGCTAATGACATAAAAGTTCGGAGCAGAAAATGGCTCTTGGCGCGGAGGAACCCAGAAAATCACACATTCCTGAAAGTTGTGTCAGATTACATGTATATGTATTAAAAATGTTTAATTAATTGTCAGTGTGCATGTATCTATTTTTGTTATTTATTGGTGATTTTAAATAAAATTTTAAGTTGATTTTCTATAAATGATTTACATATCATAATAAATTTTGATAAAAATAAACTAGTACATGCTAAAGTGTTGTGTATCAAAAAGATGAAGAAAATAAAGATTTACAAATGGTGGCAGAAACTAATGGATAATCTTTTTTTTTTTTTCGTGATATTCATTTTTTTCGTCAAGATATAAATCGGAACTTTAAAAATTGCTTGGGTTTTATCCTAACTCAAAAACCTAATGGATTTTTTTTCTTATAAGGTACTTATATTTTGCACAGAATACTGAGTAATATTGGCAATACATGTATTAAATTGTTCTGAGGAAAATGTAAATAAGAAAAATAATCCATTGTATAGGTTTCTGATCGGGGAATAAACCAAAGCATCATAATTGAAAGGAATGTTTTCAGTAAAAACTTTGAGTGGTGTAATGTTATGTCAAACTAATGAAATTAATATTGCTTTAAAACTACTTTAAACTGAATTAGAATATTTTGAACAATCGAAGTGCAGTCTTTTTTAAAGTGTTTCTGATATTATTATTTATAATCTGCCATTGGTGTGATTTATTACAAAGTAAATAAGTGTATAAAAACAACAAATAGTTTAAACCATAGACCTTTTGGTCTTTGTTTGAACCATTCCAATCCGTGGTTCGAGAGTATATGCATGGCAGAAACATTTTATTGGCAAATGACCTTGAATTTTGAGATCTGACCTTCATTGAGAATCATGAATAATTATTAGGTCATGCAGGCACGTAGCATCCCGGGGGGGGGGGGATCATTACTGTTGAAAATGTTCATTGAAAGGCTGGTCTCCCATCTTGTTGCAGTATAGTCATATCGTCCGACAGTAATGTTTTAATAAAATTTGTGGAAAAAGTTCGAAGCCCCCCTCCTCCGAAATAGGACTGTCAGTTTGGACATTTGTGTGTATGTGTGTGTGTGTGGGGGGGGGGGGGGGGCTTGTCAAAGATTTTCAAGATTTTCAATTTTTTTCTGGCTGCACCCCTTCAAAAATGATACTACCGGAACGTGACGTGCCGTGCCTGTCATGAGCAGAAAACATACTGAAGTTTGAACACTTTCCAACAGAAGTTGTTAGAATTATTGATCAGACACTATGGTGACGGACAGACTAAAGAAAAACGACTATGCCGTAACTAGTAATTGTCTTCTCATGTTTGGGGTAACATAACAAGCATACGACTTTCTACTAAATTAAAGCAGAATTTCTTATCAATGTATAATTAAAACTTTCAGAAATCAAATGGTCTACATTTATTTATGCGCTTTACAGAAATTTAATATAATAGATAAGATTTATGAAAAAAGATAAGTTGTCATTTATTATTTTTAGACTATTATATCTTTCACAAATATCAAGATAACGCTACATTAGGGGTAATATTATATAAATAATTCACCCGTTGTAACTGACGTTTAATTTTGTACAAAAAAATATGAATGTACCGTGTAGTCGTAATCATGTCTGGCTGCAGCTCACAGTTCTAAACACTTTAAAACAAACAAACAAAACAAACAAACAACAAAACAGAAATAAATGGGACGATCAGAGAGCTACAGTTCTATGTATAAAAAACAAAATATATATAAATCATGCAGAAGAAAGTGGATACCGTTCTCGAATTATTCGTATTTTTAGGCTGTCGTCTCAGATAACTATCCGCGTTCTCCAAACTCATCATATATATTCTTTGACTAATAGGACGATAAGATTTTCCCTTCAACAATTTAAATAGATCATCAGGGCCTGAAAAAAGATCTTGGAAAATGTTCTCCTGTTTATACTGTCGTTTTTGGGTAGTAAAGTTAAATTATTAAAAGTAACAATAAAATCGTAACATAATAATGCTTGCTCGAATGAGTATATGTACAACTTAGTAACTAACGTCAGAAGGAGCCAGCACGTGAAAATGGTTTCGAATAAACAAATATTTACACACTTTGTGTATAAATTTGTTCTCAAGGAATGTTTTGGTTACCATACTTTAAAATGTATATTTTTATCCATTTTGGCAATTCGTTTAGTATATGTATAATCACGTAAAATAAGCCCAAGCATCAATCCCTCGACTGGCTCGAGTTGTATAGCAACAAAACAGCGTCAAAATGGCGGATGCGATACTTATCCCCGCACTGAAGGGTAAACCAAAAGCGCTAAACTTGTGCAATAAGAAACTAGACAAAGTCCCAAAAATTATTGGTAAACTAGACTGTATTTTACATCTACAGCTCCGCGGGAACAAATTAAAAACGTTACCAATTGAACTGAGTCATTTGTTTCAGGTAATTTATACTGAAATATTGTAAAATAAATACCTCTATTCAACTCTAAAATGTCGAAAGAAGTACAAGATGATGCACATAATGTGACAAATTTCGTTTCAATAACAAAAAATTGCGCGATCTTTAGCCGCAAATCAAGAGTAAATAGGCATATTCATACGTTTGTCTTATAAATGTCTATTTTTTCTACAGCTACAGATCCTAAATTTAGGAAACAATGAATTTGAGGAGTTACCAGAAGCTTTAGAATACCTAACAATGTTGGAAAAACTCCATCTGTTTAACAACAAGCTCAGGATACTGTCTCCAAAAGTGCTAAGTATGAAAAAATCTATACTTATAAATTAATAAATTTTGCAAATAAACTCCGAAACGGGTGCACCAGAGTTCTTACTTACTCCTGTAACAAATTAACAATACACTAGATACAAGATGATGTCCGTAAACTATATTTAGATTTCACCCGCATAGTAAGTACCGGACATTAAAGAGGCTGGGGGGTTGTGGCCATTTTTAGACTATATTGATCTCCTTTAGAAGAAGAGCTCCATATGAAGATATAGAAAATGATCAATTTTAAAACTAAAATTTTTGAAATTTTTCTTTGCCAAATGATAGTTGACAGCTTAAGATATCATATCTAAAAATTATTAAGTTAAATCTGGTGGTTAATTTGTGGTTAATTTGTTGACCCCCCAGCCTCCTTAAATTAAAAGTCTACTTTTATTTTCTATAAACAGCCATGAAATAGCAAAAACGTGAGTACGGTGGCGTTTCCGGTTGGCGGATCTAGGTTACTGGAAATTTGTAATGAAACTGACAACAAGCAATTGTTTATTTATTTCATAAAACGTCAACACTGAATTATTCAATCAAAGCTTGATTTAAATTATATAAAAGAAAAAGATTGTGATAACCATCTAAAAAGGGAAATGTCCAAATTATTTTTGTCATTCACTGATCTTAATATTGAAGGAAGCTTCTAGAACATCATATAGCATCGAGCCCGATGTTAAAAAGAAAAAACCAGTCGATTATAGCTGCAAGAACATAAAAAAAAAAGCTTTTGTGTGAATGGTCATTGAAAAAATGGCAAATCATTGATAACACTAAAAGTTGTGATATACATGTATTTATATATCGAAACACTATTACATGTATGTAGTAGGTTTTCTAAAAAATTTATCGGTAAAATTTGTATAAATAATTTATATTCCTATATTCCTTACTAAATGCATCGTGGCAACGAACTCGAAGTACAATTTGTACTTCGTAATAAACTTGCTTACATTAAAAGAGAAAATTAATGAATAAGGTGTTGTTCAAATACAATTAAAACTGTAAAATTTTGTGTTTTATTCAATACATTTCAGTTGTTTTTTTTTCTGAATACAGTCTTTGTATCAAATACTTGGCCTATTCATAGGGCGTTATAAGCTAATTTTTACACAGCCTGAACTTAATTGGGACTTGGTTTATAAATATGTATGTACCTTATTGATATGTAAAAAAAAGTAAATAAAAGTATATTTTTTACATATCAATAAGGTACATACATATTTATGAACCAAGACTCAAGTACCTGTGAATTTTTACCCCCCCCCCCCCCCCCCCAAAATAAATAAATAAATTTATCAGTAAAATGTGTACATTCGCTGATTTTATCCTTGGCGGAAATGTAATAAGAGCATCTGAAGTACAATATCCATAACATAGTATAGCAGGTTTCATAATAAACGTCAATTAATGAAATTGTTATTTTTCAATTTTTTACAAAAAGGGGGTGGTGGGGTGGAGACGTACATGTACATCTACTTCATGCGGGATTTTGAACAAGTTTTTCTTTCTGCTATAAGCCTATAGGCTGTCAGTAGAAACTACGATATATTTTCTGTCGGTAATGGTATAAATTCAATTCCCCGCGCTTGCGCGGGATTTCATCTAGTAGCATTAAAAGAAAATAGATATGCTCATCAACATAGTAATTGGTGATCAGCACAGTAAATTTCGACACATTATTGATATACAGTAAGTGTAATAGGTTCAAGAAAGCATGGGCATAAATACATATCTTTTAGACACTGCTTAATATACCAATTCATTAATTGTTAATGCTTCTTTTGATAATACAGTGTTGTTTCTCAATTTAAATGGTTATATTTTTTTTCATATTTTAGCAAACCTCAGGAATTTAACATTCCTCAATCTAAATTCAAACAACTTGAAAACTTTTCCACCTGAAATATGTAGGTAAGTAATTTCTTTTTCATATATAGTGTGAGAAGCGATAGTGGATTTTCAGGACAATCAAAATTACCCCATTACTATGTCCATGATTTGTTATGTCAACTAAAAAAATATAAGCTTAATTAGCTTTGCATGTATATGACAGAGAAAATTAGAGTATTTTTCGAGGAAATTTTTATGTCTACATTAAAAAAATATAATAATCCCACCCTTGTGAGAAACATAGTGGCTGAATCGCATATAAATGACTTACATTATACCCTAATCAGAGGGGAGATGCAACCCCCTCCAACACCTACCCCCATTATTAGGTGCGTCATGTCTCTGGTGAAGTCCTCAACTTCATTTAAGTCTACACATAAACAGAAAAGAAAATACACCACTGATGATTATATGCTACCTTGTCAAAATTATTACCTACAGATATGTTAAAGATCTTTTGCATATGCTAAAATAAGTAATGTTGTGCATTGAGGGTTGAACTCTGCTGTGATGTACTTTATCAATTATGCAGACTTCATCTAGCACAAAGTTTGTGAATTTCATCTAGAACAGAGTTCATGAAGATCATCTAGAATAGAATTTGTGAAGTTAATGCATTATATGCTCAGAATAATTTATACCTATTCCAGTTATTTTTGCTTTTTTGTATTTTGATATATTTATTGGGTTCTTCAGATTGTCCAGTCTCCAACACCTTTCTGTGGATTATAACCAGCTAACAGAGCTCCCTGTAGAAATGTGTGCATTACTCCGCCTGGAAGAGTTTCACGCTGCCAATAATCAGCTGACAAGTCTGCCACTGGAGTTTGGATTTCTGGTTAACCTAGAGAAACTTCACCTACAGAAAAATAAAATTAGAGAACTCCCAGAGGTAATATATTTTAAATGAACAGAGAAGACTTCCTCTAAGGAAAGGATTTGTTTGATTGTGTTCTTTCAGTTAGAAGTTGCATAATACAGACAATTTGTTGAAGAGGCAATTACACTGTCATCTATTGTAGAGTCTTGGGAAGTGTTATAAACTGAGGACTCTAGATATTGCTGCCAATGAGCTCAGGATATTTCCAACAGAGGTAGTTTAAAAAGTGCAATACTAATTCATCCCCATAGACAAAAATATGACAATTCATTGTGTTTTATAAGATGTTAGTGTCAGTTACAGAACTGTTTGAATTATCTGAAACAAACAAAAATAACTGTTTTCGTGTGTGTCCAAATCTAACTATTAAATGCATAAGTGGGTCTTTTTTCTATTTTTTTTCATTTCCAGATTTTGTCTTGTCACATATATATTAAAATGCTTATGTCTTCCATGTATACTTTTTTTTACAGTTGAGTGCTCTCCCTTTGAAGGAGATGTACTGTGAAGAAAATCCACTTTTACAACATATCCCTGTCCACTCTGTACAAGAGGAGGAAGTTCTATCACTAAAGGTAATAAAATGTATAGATCCTCTTTTACAACAGATCCCTGTACAAGAGGAGGAGTTCTGTCACTAAAAGGTAGGACAAAATCAAATATATAGATCCTCTTTTACAACACATTCCTGTCCACTCTGTACAAGAGGAGAAAGTTCTGTCACTAAAAGGTAGGACAAAATCAAATATATAGATCCTCTTTCACAACACATTCCTGTCCACTCTGTACAAGAGGAGAAAGTTCTGTCACTAAAAGGTAGGACAAAAGCAAATATATAGATCCTCTTTAACAATACATCTCTATCCACTCTGTACAAGAGGAGAAAGTTCTGTCACTAAAAGGTAGGACAAAATCAAATATATACCGGTAGGTCCTCTTTTACAATATATCCCTGTCCACTCTGTACAAGAGGAGAAAGTTCTATCACTAAAGGTAATAAAATATATAGACCAACTTGTTTTTCTATTAAATTATATAAAAGCTTCTAAAATGAAATACATTGATTTCAATCTTATTCACAGGAAATCAATGCAAGATACATAATGAAGGAACTGAAGGATAGGTAAATAGTTTATTGTATTCTATTTTGAAGATATTCTTACTTGCCTATAAGCAATTGTAATATATACATGTATAAGTTATATGTGATGATATTAACTCAACTGAGCTCCAAGCTCAAGAGTGCATATTTGATCAAAGTTTGTTATATTCCATCTGTTGTTTGATAGCTAACTCTTTGCCATTCAACATCTTCTCCAGAGATTTTAGGCCAATTTCAACCAAAAAGAAACCTTGGTAAAACTATGGGATTCAAATTTCTTCAAATAAAAGCTACCTACAAGTGAAAAAAACATATGGTGCAGTCATCTAAATACCTTTTTTCTCCCAAATCATTAAACCAGAAAAGTCAAAACTTATGAAAAAGCTTCAGTATATACATGTATCATAGGCTGATAATCTATAGCCAGATGGGACCTCGAGTAACATATCTAGTGTGCATTCAGATATGCGATACCCCCCCCCCCCCCCCCCCCCCTTAAGAAGCCAGGTTGGGGCCTTAAAAAGGGATCAGAAGTTTATGTGATTTGTTGAATTGATTTACAAGTGAGAGAGAGAAATAATTGTTGACAATAGGTCATTTGAATTATAGTTTTACCTTACTATAAAGAGTTTAATTCTTTTCTTTATAATTTATTTACCAAAGAAATGTTGCTTAGGTGAGCATTGTGGCTTATTGGTCTTTTGTTTTTAGTTGTGATTGTTTCTTTAATTAATATGTAAATTTCAGTCCTGCTGGAGGAAAAGACAGGTGATATTTTTAACTTGGCATTCTACGTCTCATGTTTTAATGGATGCTTGTCAAGAGTTGTTCCCCTTTGCCAAACTGCATTTTCTGATTTTTTCCCTCTTGATAACATGCTTGTTGTTTGTACAGGCCTGCAAATATGCTTCAGTATCTTTATGTAATATTAAATGTTGTTTATGCTTTGGGGAAAGTAAAATATTTAACAAGAGGAAGATATCTGGTTTCTATTTGGGGTGATTAGGTTGATTGACTATTGAATGTTTGTAATCAAACTTCATCATTGACAAGATATATTGCAATTTACATCTACATTTCAGATATCCCATAAACATATATACAAACAGATTGATCCATGTTCTTTTATTCAAAATTTTTATTTCTTCCATTTTTCAGTCACATATAAATTATTTTCTATCATGCCATACCAGATTTGTCAATAAACTTTTCCAAATTTTCCATTCAAAATATAGACAGTTTTGACTGACATATTGGTCCTTGTCAAGCCAAAAACTCTAATGTTATCTCTCCCTAATAATATACAACCTACTCTCTGTTGTAGATGGTCATACCTGCGTCGTGCTATACGTCATTACCCCCAGATTAAAGAGATGTTGGCCCAGGCCAGTAAATGTGCGGTGTGTGGAGAGTCCTTCCTCAACACCTGGCTGGAATGTGTCTGTTTTGTGGATGCCAAAGAGGTAGAATTATTCTTGACACACTACAACCTTGGTTTACTTGTGCAATATATTATAGTCATTTAATTATAATTCACTTTGGACTAATTTGTGAAAAATGAATGTGAAAATAAACAATGTATTTGCATGTTTTCTTCATAAAAAAATAAGTACTCCATGTTTATTAAATATTCCATTTTTGAAGTTTTTACAGGTACATATTTTCTAATGCAGGTGTACTTTCAGAGAGAAGTATAATAAAATCTCAAATACTGTAACACAATATATTCAATTTGTTTTAGGACTTAAAGCTAAACAATCTGTCCGGTTTGATTCCAGTGCGTGCGTTACTGTGCTCCTATCGATGCTTCAACTCCTCTGGACATGATTATTATGGTGTAGCATTTCCATGATGAATATCAATAATGTTCTTCTAAGGGAGATAATTCTTTTAGTCACATTTAGTGACATCCTGAAAATTTGATGGTTCACGACCTTCACATTCCTGTTGAAGTGGATCCTCATGCAATTATTGTTACATCATACATCAGTGGCATTTGATACATTTCAGTCAAAAGCAACTTGTGTGAAAGACAATATCATGTCCTCCACATACGTAGATATTTGATATCTGAGATTTTATGCATGATATTTCTTTCCAAAATTTAGAAAACATCATATACATGCATAATGAACGCATGAATAGATAAGTATTTTTTTGAAAATATTACTTATATTTTAAAGACACATGTATCTAGAAATTTGATTTTGATATGTGTACTGTAGATTATTCCTTTTTTTATGAGGTTTGTTAGCCTCAATATTTGTAATATTATAAAGTTTTTAATTTTGTTACATATATATACATGATGATGTCATTATTTTTTTTGTTACTGAATTGAAAGTCTACTTTTGTTTTTTTTTTTTTTAATTTTATTAAATCACATATTTTATTATCAATGTTTTTTTAAATTTATCATCAATTGATTGCGCCCATGGGAAAAGGGCCTTATGGCAATTTTTACACATTTTAAGTTTTTCATGGATATTAATAGAGCAAGGTAAGAAGTTGCCAAATCTGAATTTTTATGGCCCTACGTCAACTCTAAGTAGGTTTTATCTTCATTTATATCAGTGATACTTTTACAGGTAAACAATGACGTCATATTACTTTCGCACCAACGTCAAAAGTTTTCAGAGTGAACATGACTTTCATTTTGCATTGTAATGTTACTACGGTAATAAATGTATGTTATTGAGCATTTCCAGAAACATTTTTGAGTCATTGTCTCTTTTAATAATTGTATAATATGATAATAAATAGTTGTATTAACTAGTATCCATCATGTAGTGGTGTATAGAATTATGAGTATTTGTTTGTTTGTTTGTTTTACATTTCACTATGCTGGAATGTCAGGAAAACCCGAGAAGCAAGTGGCTTCTGTTCAATATCGATTTATTCTCTCAAAACCAAAGTATTTATCTCATGTAATAATTGTTTGAGAAACCTGTAGAATTCATTCGAAAATCATCTCATTTTAAGCATAACTCTCGATAGGACAAGATGTCTTTTTTTTGGGGGGGGGGGGGGGGGTTGAATCCAGTATAAACGATATCTCTTTCAAAATGTGAAGTTAAAAAATATTTCAAAAAAAATTATCGGGAACAACAATAAAATAGATTTTGCTGGGTAGTGAAAATTTGTTGTTTTTTTTTTTTTGTTTTGTTTTTGTTTTCTAAATATAATTAGGCAGAAAATTTGTGAAATGTAGTGAGTTACCGTATACGCTGTACAACAATTTATGGAAATTAGTTGATACACTGCATGTTAAGCAATATTCGACCAATAAAAAAAATCTTCAAACAAAAAATCAGAAGGACTTCTGCCCGCATGTGGTAACAAAACTTTTTTTTTTAAATTAAAATGATGCACATTTTTTCAGTCACAGCAAGGAAAATTTTTGAATAATTAATTTTAAGTAAGCAGGTTGATAAATTATAAACAAATGGATAATGGATGAATTATAATTCACATGCATTTGAAATGAAAAGAACAGATCCAGGATGACCAGTGGTTGGATTGTGTGTGTGTGTGGGGGGGGGGGGGGGTTAAAAGTTAAATGACAGAAACATGCAATACTTGTACTTAACATGAGTTTAATAGCATACGAGGGTTGTCGTATTTTTAAAATCTTCCTACATTTTAGGTGTGCAGGGGGGATGCCTTCCCACCACCAACCCCATAACCTCCAAATACGTCATTTGGTTAGGTTTGAAATAATATTGAAATAATTCCTCAATTTATTTTTGCACCTTGAACTCTCTCCTTACGTACATGTATATGAGCAGGGTCATTTTCAAAACAAACTGCGATCATGAGCTCCACATGCCTGGAACTGGAAACTTAACTGCTATCAAATCTAGTTAATCATGAGAAAAATTGCATCCTAGAATAACGATTTTGTCTGATTTTGTAAAATTAAATGGTTTTAAAAGAACATGTATACACTGGGTATTAATAGATATCGGGTATTTTATTGTCATTTCAACAAATTTTATCCGAACTTTGAATGAAATAAATATTTCATTTTTTTTTAAATTAATATCAAATAGATTTTTCTAAGAAATAAATAATTATATGTATGTTGTCGTTATGAATCAATGACATGCAGATTAATTAATAGAATTTTTTCGGCTGGGGGTGTGTGTGTAAAATTAATTGAAAGTTTTATATATCCAGTCAAAAATGCGACTGGTTCATAATATTCCTTGACTAGCTGAGTTTTTAAATGACAAATTTTTACAATGTGGCACACATTTAGGTACATGTAAATATTGTTATGTGATAGTGTGTGTAGAATCCCCCCCCCCCCATTTCTCGCGGCTTCTTTATCGTATGAAATTCTAATGATATTGTTTTCAAATGTTATTAAATATGAAGTTTTACAATATAAAAATTCCATTCTGGCCCCATGCCAGAGACTTGGATATGCTTATCCTTGTAAAGTGTTACAGATACACTGTACAGTAGTTAGGTCCCGGTAATACAAAATAACCCTGGCCCTCTTCCTCGGTCTCCTGCACTGCCACAAAAATAAAAACTTGCAAACATATTCTTAGTCTTTTGTGCAGTATATTTTTAGCATTTAATTTAATTTATACAATGGATGTTTCAATACAATTTGATCTTAACAAGATTTATTTCAATAAATCGAAATAACAACATAATTCAACAGCAAGTTAAGCAATATCATACTAAACCGATAACTGAGATTATTATTTCAATAAGAAAACGAGTTTTAGATTGATAATAGAACTGTAATGACATACAATGCTGAGATTCTATAAATGACAAGGATTACATATTTTTGACTTTTAAGTGACTAAAAACTGCAGATAAAGCTAAAACCTTTGAACTTTTTTATGCACAACACGAGTACCAAAATGTTATATTTTCGAGTTACTGAAAATAAATAGACAGCAAAAGAAAAATAAAGAGATAGAGATTTCTTTTAATAATACAATATTGTTGTGTTTTTGAAAATTCGCCTCTTCATTAAAGTTTCACATTTCACATTGTGTTCATAAACTGGATTTAATGTAACATCTCTCTCTCTCTCTCTCTCTCTCTCTCTCACACACACACATCAGGTATACATACATGTAAACTTTTTTTTCAGCTAGAAAAATTAGAACAATTTTATTTCATTAGGTAGTTTTTGTTTGTTTTCAAGTACTTACATCGGAAGTGGCAACAACAAAAATAAGACGAAACAATTTTTTGTTCAATTTCATTTTATTTTATTTAAATTTATTATCATTATTACTGAAAAAAAATGAAAATTCAAGTTATTTTAAAAAATAATTTCATGTTAAAATAAATAGATGCACTTGTAACAGACTTAAAAAATAAATGAAAGTTTGGTTTAATGTAGCATCTATTTCTTATTCTATTTTTTTTTTCTCTTTCACTTTGACAGCAGCTAGTTCCACGAGCTTTCAAAAATACTTTTAAAGAAAATATAAATATAATACTTATAATTAAAACGTTTTTTTAACTGATGATAAGTAAGATTTTTAAAAATATTTTTTTTATAATACGGGAGCAAATTTGTATGAGTATGTTGATTTTGAATGGTGTTAAAAAAAAAGAAAGTCCCTCTCTGGTACCTCTCTAGTATCTCGCTTGTCAGAGTTACCTCTCTTGTTTTTATTTAGGTCTTAAATTTAATATCACGTCTGTCATTCGTTCGTACAGAGACATATATGTCTCTGGTTCGTACTTTTGTGAAAACTTACAAGAATACTTTTCTTTGTTGGAAGAAGTGTGATCAGTTTCAAATTTTTGGCAATTAAAGCATTTTACAACAAAAATTTATGCACGATGTACCACTGCTGCAATGTTTACATGATCGATGAGTTGAGAATGGTGGGGCGGATCTTATACAGGAAAACGATTTCCTCTGCGATATTTTGATAATATACCCGTGTCTAACAAATAACTTCAATATGTCTATATATCAAAATCGCATTCGTTCATCCATATTCAATTATCCAGAAAATCACCTTGTCTGAAGCTTCTATACATGGAAAGGGTGCACGATGTTTCGGGACCACGACGTTTCGGGACCTGACTAATACGACGTTTCGGGACTAGCAACAAGACGGTTCGGGACTTGGGTAAAGACGATTCGGGACTTGAGTTAATTTTTTTCGGGATCTAAACAAATTATTTTATTATGGTGATATAGCATATTATTCTAATTATTATATAGCACGTCGGGGTCCCGAAACATCGCGGTCCCGAAACATCCATAATTCCATGGAAATACATAGCCCAGATCAGAGACGTATAAATTATTAAGCTACAATAACATGTAGTAAAGAAACGGGTCTCGAATAATTTAAAAATTCTAAATATTTTAATTAATATCAGTGGACTAGAGTTAAAGATATAAATGAAAATAAATAATTATTTCAATGTTGAGAACAACGACAAAAGTGAGCTAGACGTGTCAAAACGTAAAACACGTGGATAAAAAAAAATCTGCGTCGACGCTCACCGTCTGCAACGTCATATCTTTATGACGTTATTTCTCTGTTTTAGCAAAATTGCCATAAGGCCCTTTTGTCATGGGCGCAATCAATTGTCATTTTTATTCATGTACAAACTCATCTAACAATATGAGAAAATAAAAATTACAATCTTTTTCTTTGTGTAAAACTTGACAGCCATAATGTAGCTGTAACATGAGCAAATTTAACTTAATGCAATGGTTGAAGCCATTTTCTTACTGATAACTTGTAGTCTTCTTCTTGAGATCATACTGACTCCTCTAATATAAAACAAACACTGACTACCTTTCCACCTGTTCTGTCATAATTAAGGGCCATAGTATCAAAAATGTAATTAAAAAAGCAAAATGAGGCCAACATTATTATGTAAAACATTTGACAATTTTTCAGGCCCATCTCTGATCACAGAATGAATAATCTAAGAACAAGTCTTATAGAATGCTTTAATATTGGGGATGTCAACGAATATTCATTCGATGAGTTGGTATGTGAATTTGATTTGATGTATTTTTTTTTCCAAGAGAGCACAGTAGTTAAGAGTTGACGATGTGACTGCTGGGGTGAGCACAGTTGTATATTATTATTTGTACTGGATACTTACTCACTTTTAACTTAGATCCATCTCTTCAACCCGCATGAAACATTTTAAAAGAAGATATAATGTCATTAAGAATGACAATTGCATTTCAGATTTCCATTAAGTACAAAGTCTGAAAAGTGCAGAAT